TTATGGATATAGGTTCAGTATATAAATGATTGTGGACATAGGTTCAGTATATAAATGATTATGGATATAGGTTCAGTATATAAATGATTATGGATATAGGTTCAGCATATAAATGATTATGGATATAGGTTCAGTATATAAATGATTATGGATATAGGTTCAGTATATAAATGATTATGGAAATATGGTTCAGTATATAAATGATTATGGATATAGGTTCAGTATATAAATGATTATGGATATAGGTTCAGTATATAAATGATTGTGGACATAGGTTCAGTATATAAATGATTATGGATATAGGTTCAGTATATAAATGATTATGGATATAGGTTCAGTATATAAATGATTATGGATATAGGTTCAGTATATAAATGATTATGGATATAGGTTCAGTATATAAATGATTATGGAAATATGGTTCAGTATATAAATGATTATGGATATAGGTTCAGTATATAAATGATTATGGATATAGGTTCAGTATATAAATGATTATGGATATAGGTTCAGTATATAAATGATTATGGATATAGGTTCAGTATATAAATGATTATGGATATAGGTTCAGTATATAAATGATTATGGATATAGGTTCAGTATATAAATGATTATGGATATAGGTTCAGCATATAAATGATTATGGATATAGGTTCAGTATATAAATGATTATGTATATAGGTTCAGTATATATATGATTATGGATATAGGTTCAGCATATAAATGATTATGGATATAGGTTCAGTATATAAATGATTATGGATATAGGTTCAGTATATAAATGATTATGGAAATATGGTTCAGTATATAAATGATTATGGATATAGGTTCAGTATATAAATGATTATGGATATAGGTTCAGTATATAAATGATTATGGATATAGGTTCAGTATATAAATGATTATGGATATAGGTTCAGTATATAAATGATTGTGGACATAGGTTCAGTATATAAATGATTATGGATATAGGTTCAGTATATAAATGATTATGGATATAGGTTCAGTATATAAATGATTATGGATATAGGTTCAGTATATAAATGATTATGGATATAGGTTCAGTATATAAATGGGTACCTCAGCGCGGATGTTCAGATTTCTTTGTTAAGTTTTCATGTAGTTCCAGAGCCATAAAGGCTTGATTCTGAGGCTCCGCGAAAACAAACAACTGAGCATGAGCAGCTACGAGCGTGAGCGCCGATGATTGACAGCCCTTGGCATCACTCGATTGGTTAACCTCGACGGCATCATGGATTCTGAGCTATAGCTAAGAGAAGGGAAGGCGGGACTTACCTGTAATATTAGAATTCATAAAATGACTTATTTCATATCAATATTTAAGGCCTGGAGGTCAATTTAATACAATTCTTAAAACTTGTTATTAATTTAGAGTTCCAGACTATCATTTTAACATTTTCCATGGGAGTCTAAGTGTCACTGCTTCTTTATGCAATCTTTATGTAATATATTCTCACACCATGAAAAGAGTAGTCCGTCTTGTCATGGACTTTAAACCATAGATTAGTGGGTGCAATATAAAGCAGGCGGCTGGGTACGTACCACTGAATATAACAAAAGTCAACATTTTATTTCATATTTGGCAGCAGGCTTTACACATTTCTCCGCTTTAACACTTTCTTAGGCTTTAACTATGCGACCAGCTTTTGACCACACCGCCTCACCAAACACACGTTAAGCCATTTCTCTAAAACTCTGCAGCCTTTTTCTCTTCTTGCCATGAATGAATGAACGCACTGTCAACTACTGCCGCCGCCGCTGCTGCTACATTTTCGGTGCTTGGAACCATTTTGGCCCGAGCCGAACGCAAGCAGGAGGTGGTTGTGGAAGCATAAAAAATAATAACACCGGCGCTATTATAACGGCGGGCTCAAAGCAATTTCACTGCATTAATTTTTTAGAAGCAGCCGCGGGCGAGTCTGGAACCACAAACACCTCCTGTCATTGTGCTAAGAAAGGATGTAAATTGCTATTGATTTATAATACAATCTCGTTTTCTCGTAGATAATTTCAGTGACGTGACATTTTTCACATTTTCACTTCTCGGAGAAGTTTGCTTTGTTCTTGCGGCTGGCGTCTTGGAGAGGTCGCCAAAGAAACTTAACCCGGTCTTATGCTGCTAGCTCACAAAATGGACTTTAACAATTCACTATTCACGGTCTGTATAAACAATTACAAAGACTGAACAAAGGAAAGTTAAGTATTGACGACATTAGAAGCACGTCCATTCAAAGCGAAAATTGCCTAAAATTGACTTTTTTTGAGATGAGGTCTGTAATAGAATTGTTCTTAATCAAAAACGTACCTTGAGTTTGAATAAAACTAATCTTTTCATGTGATTTTTTAACTTTCTCACAGCCTCAGAGTGAAGATAAGGTACATTTAAAACATTTATTATCATGTATAAACCAATGGCTACTACTGTATGTGTTACTATTGAATTTCCTGTTTTTTTCCTTCTCTGATCTGTTGTTGAGGAATCCACAACTTACTGTGTTTTATTTTATACTTGCTTTTTTATTTTGCAAACGGTATTTCTAAATATCATTGTTATTCTAAAGTCAAAGATTTTATACTTCATTCTTGCTTCTTCATTCTGCTAAAGTTGGAGATTATAGATTGCTCCGTTAAACTGCTAAAGCTAGAGATTTTATGTTATGTAATTGTCCATGATCATTTCCTACATGTACGTCTGGGTCTGATCCTAGTGGCTGCAGTTTCCTCGGTTGAATCCCCTCCGACCAATCAGAGAGCGGGGGAGGCGGGTGTTGTAGGTCGGTGTCGGTGATGTCAAGAGTTTGCGCCGTATTTGCTGGTTGTAGTTTGGCAAGTAGTTCTAGTAAAATAATCCATTCTGGTTCAGCTCCAAATATCAAGAAATTGAAGCCGGAGCAAGAGGAATGTTTATCAAATGTCATTGCTGCAAAGATGTTGTGGCTCTACTCCACACGGGCTCCATTAGTGGCAAAGGAGATGGCTAAAGCTAGGCTAAATGCTAAAGCTAGGCTAAATGTTAAATGCCTCACACACTCGGGCACATTACATACGTCACGGTACAATCAGATCCAATGGTTTCAATCTGCAAAAGGAGTTAACCCCTCCCACCTGTTAACGGAGTCAATGGAGCAAATACCTTACGAAATGAAAATAGTACAATGGTAAGGTAAGAACAGGCTAATAACACGAACACTCGGCCAAACCTGTTTTAATTCTCCCCACACTGGACAACAGCTATTGGCGCATTCAATTATCAAGTAAATGTACCGTTACACATTTTGCCTTTGGGGAATTTGGCAAAACAAGAATAATCATTTTGTGTTGCTATAAATTGGTATTGATCCACTAATCTTTTCTTCCATAATTGCTCTCGCTATAACTCGCATTTTCCACTAAATAAGTCTCTTTTAAAAACCCACACAGTCCATGCAGATGAAGCCACACTCAAAGCCCTGAAATTCGTCTGAGAAAATATTTTTTCGACGAGGTTGTAGCCCCTGCTCTTTGTGCGACATTCCGGCGCACAGAGAAAAATCGGACAAAAGCAAATAGCTGAGCCGCATCTCAATCACGTTCAGCCTTCAAACGCGGCACTTATCATATTTATTGAATGTCGAGTTGAAGGGGAGATGGATTTTTCAGTATGTCGCATTTTGTAAGCTTATTTATGTATTTTAAGTCAAATTTATCCGGGACTAAAATGAGCAGTTGCGCCCACAGCTGAGTAAAAGCGTGGCGTATTGCGTTGAATATATATTATTTGTTTTGCCGCTTACTAGGATAGTAGTGTTTTCTGAGCTGAAGGTTGGAGGTTCGAATCCTGCTCTTAACATAACGCAATGGTTTTATACAGCGCTTTTTTGGACGTGCAAAGACGTGCCGCTAATGTATAGATGCTATCATATAACTACACTTTACTTGCACTAGATTACACAGTACTTTATACTTGCCTCTTATTTTGTCAATGTTAAATTTTTACATCTATCATATTTTCAAGATAGAGATTTTATACTTATTATTGATGCTAGAGTTAGATTGTTTTTATTTTGATTAGTATAGCTATTGTTCACTTAACATGTGCCGTGTGCTCCTCTTTCCTACTGCTCTATAACCTGTGAGGCAACACCGAAATTTCTCCTCTGTGGGACAAATAAAGGATCTCTTAATCTTAATGTAAATATTCATTCACTCCAAACACAGTGGTGATAAACTACTAGTGTAGCCACAGCTGCCTTGGGGCACACTGACAGAAGCGAGGCAACCAGTCTGGAAAACATTCAAGACTGAGAAGAGTTGAGGAAATGAGTGGAGTCTAATGTACTCACCTGGTCTCCCATCACATCACTAACCAGGCACTGCCCTGCTTAGCTTCGGAAATCCGACGGGATCTGGCTTTCACATTAAACTACGGCAACAACTGGTCATATGCAGAAATCTATCTTTATCTATGTATCTATCTATCTATCTATCTATGTATGTATCTATCTATGCATCTATCTATCTATCTATCTATGTATCTATCTATCTATGTATCTATCTATCTATGTATGTATCTACTGTATCTATCTATGTATGCATCTATCTATCTATGTATGTATCTATCTATCTATGTATGTATCTATCTATCTATGTATGTATCTATCTATCTATCTATCTATGTATCTATCTATCTATGTATGTATCTATCTATGTATCTATCTATCTATCTATCTATCTATCTATCTATCTATCTATCTATCTATCTATATATCTATCTATCTATGTATCTATCTATCTATGTATCTATCTATCCATCTATCTAACAATGTCTCTCTGTCTGTCTGTCAGTCTAGTCTCATGCAGAGGCCTGTCTGTGCAGCTCTTCAGTGGTTGTTTGTTGACAAAGTGTGTGTTTGAATCTTCCCTTGTTGTAAAAAATGCCACTAAACCCTGATGTTCTCTGTCCGTCTAAATGTCTGTATGTAAATGTAAATGTACCGTACCTTCTGTTGAAAGGGTTTTCTCCGGTGATGATGTGAGTGGACTCTGGACCAACCAGGAAGTGGATCCTCTGGTAGAAAGATCTGGCAGCCTGCAGCAGACACAGCGATGGTTTTAGGGAAAAGACAGAGAGAAATATGGAGGGCCTAAGGGTACACAACCTAAGGCTATTGGAATGAACAAAATAGAATTATTGGACAAACCACTGAGTTCCAACTTGCCAACAATCCAAATTTCTTTAGTATAATTTAGTTTGGTGGATTGTGATAATTGAATCTGAATTTAAAATCGTCAGACTGAAGAGAAAATCAAGAAGACCAGTAGAGTTTTTGTTGTTTTTGGGGAAGACATATGGAGAGAGAAGAAGCACACACACTCAACTTATGACTATTGGAATGAAGGTAGTTCCAAATCATGATAGAAAAATGGAAAAATGACCAAGGTCTAACTTAGAGATGCGCCAAAAATGGACTGATCTCTTGAGTTTGGCGATCAAAATGTTGTTTTAGTCATTCCAGCTATAAACAAAATCAAACCTGGAATTGGGAAATATAGGAGGAAGAGTATGTTATTATTATTCTCTCAGCTCACAGGTGTCAAACTCAAGGCCTGTGGGCTATATCCGGCCCACCAGACCATTTTTCGTGGCCCCTGAAATGATCTTAAACGATTCCTCTTAACATTTTCTTACAGTATTGATGGTGAAGTTAATATGAGCTGCCATGGCACGTTATACCTCATTTTAAAGATCCTCAATTTTATTCTAAATTTGAACCCAACACGTAATTATAAAGGGTTGGTTTAAGAAATATAAATTAGTGGCCAATCCTAAGACCCAGTTTTGGTTCTGTCCAAACAGTATGAAAGAATCCAAACTTCATTTTATTTAACTCTGAGGTTAAATTATTAATAATGATAAAAAATACATTGTGGTCAAATAGCGGTTTTTTGGACACAACTAGAGTCATTCTTTGGTCAAAATAGCTTTTACAAATATCCACACATCCCCCTCTAGGCCTCGCTTCTCCTCCGTGTTTGGATGTTTTGAGTACCTGCTGCGGGGTGAGGGCGGCGGGGGACTGGCTGAGCACGTCTGCGGGGTCCGGAGAACCTTTACAGAACTGCTGACTCTGACACGACGGCTGCAAGCAACAGTCTGGGTCCATGCAGTCCACCAGGCCATCTGCAACACACGCAACAATACGAGACGTCAGCAGATCCAGGACTTAAAAGACCACATTTATGGACTTTGGTCATTCACCCTTAATAATAATAATAATAATAATGCATCAGATCTCAAATCTCATTATTCTTATTCTGATAAACTACTACTGTAGCCACACCTGTCCAGGGGCACACTGACAGACACGAGGCAACCAGTATGTGCCGCTGGTCCCTCTAACCACCACACACACACACACACACACACACACACACACACACACACACACACACACACACACACACACACACACACACACACACACACACACACACACACACACACACACACACACACACACACACACACACACACACACACACACACACACACACACCAGACTCATTCTGGGCAATGTGGGTGAAGTGTCTTGCCCAAGGACACAGCAACAGTTTTACAGCCGCCCCAATGTGGCACCTGTGGTCGGTGGTCCCAGAGGTCTCCCATCACAGTACCAACCAGGCCCTGCTTTGCTTAGCTTTAGAGGTCTGATTGGATCTGACTTTCACATGGAACAATTCCTCTATATGTTTTTTGATTTCTTGTGATTTTCTGATCTGTTGTTGGCCAATCAACAACTTCGTAAAGTCCTCTGAGATAACTGCTGTTGTGATTCAAGGCCATACAAAAACAAATCAAATTAAATTGAGGCAACAAGCTCCCGAAGATTTCGTCTGTAAATCTGGAGCTGACTTTTTTGGATAGCAACAACCTACTGTAGCAACCACAGAGCCAATCAGCCGTTTAGTCTTATTTCAAGAACTGCTTCATTTTCTCTTTCCAAGGGAGACATTTATTGTATCTTTTAAAAACAATATCATTTTGCTTTGTCCCGTTTGGTAAATCTTGTTTTAAGTCAGTCAGAATGTTCTCAAATGTGCTCTCTTTGGTCTCTCTCTAGTCAGTCTGGTCTCTCTCTGGTCTCTCTCTGGTTTCTCTCTGGTCTCTCTCTGGGCCTCCCTCTGGTCTCTCTCTGATCTCTCTCTGATCTCTCTCTGGCCTCTCTCTGGCCTCTCTCTGGTCTCTCTCTGGCCTCTCTCTAGTCTTTCTCTGGTCTCTCTCTGGCCTCTCTCTAGTCTCTCTCTGGCCTCTCTCTAGTCTTTCTCTGGCCTCTCTCTGGTCTCTCTCTGGTCTTTCTCTGGTCTCTCTCTGGCCTCTCTCTGGTCTCTCTCAGGCCTCTCTCTAGTCTCTCTCTGGTCTCTCTCTAGTCTCTTTCTAGTCTCTCTCTGGTCTCTCTCTGGCCTCTCTCTGGTCTCTCTCTGGCCTCTCTCTGGCCTCTCTCTAGTCTTTCTCTGGTCTCTCTCTGGCCTCTCTCTAGTCTCTCTCTGGCCTCTCTCTAGTCTTTCTCTGGCCTCTCTCTGGTCTCTCTCTGGTCTTTCTCTGGTCTCTCTCTGGCCTCTCTCTGGTCTCTCTCAGGCCTCTCTCTAGTCTCTCTCTGGTCTCTCTCTGGCCTCTCTCTGGCCTCTCTCTGGCCTCTCTCTGGCCTCTCTCTAGTCTTTCTCTGGTCTCTATCTGGTCTATCAAGAACTGTTGCTGTATTTTCTCTTTCCAAGGTAGACATTTATTGTATCTTTTAAAAACAAGATTATTTTGCCTTGTCCCTTTGGTATATCTTGTTATAAGTCGGTCAGAATGTGTTAAAATTAAGACACATTTAGCCAGATTTTAGCCATTATCACTTTTTGCAGTGTATTCAAATGCCCCTCCATATTGTATTGAAAAAACACTTAATTTGAACCCATTTCTTCAGCGTTTACGTCCACGCTCACACAGACCTCCTTTGTCCCAGCCCGTGCCTTTTCACAATACAACCTCTCTCCCATCTTCATTCCCCTATTGTTAAATCTAACGCCCATTCATTGCTTTAAATCTCTGCTTCTCTGGTGTTTGGTCCTCCCTCCTCTGCCTCCTCTTCCTCCTCGCATCTATAATGACTCCTAATCCCACTTTATCCTTCATTAGTCCCTGAGCTCCTCCATCTCCTCCTGGTTTGATCCCAGCCTCATCTCTCTGCTCGCGGATCCCTCCGTCTTTCCCATGGCCCGGCCACGTACGAGGTTTCCGGGATTGATGCTTTGAGATATTAGCATTTTCCCACGTGGCGAAATGCTTGAGGAGAATGTGTTTTTAAAAACTTGGAAAAAACACACAATACAGAGATTTTATACTTAATTCTTGGTTCTTTTTTATGCTAAAGCGAGAGATTGTAAACTTGCTTCTCAAAGTTTTCAGTTTTCTGTAGCCAAAGACAATATTCTCCTTAACACTGTACCTATAGAACATTTATTATTTTTCATTTATTTATTTTTTGGCCAGCTGCGTCTGAAATGAGAACGATTCGCCCTCAGGGATAAATAACGTGGTTTTCAATCAACGCAAAAAAAGAAAAAAGGAACGTCTTTGTCTGAATAATTGTGTGAACTGAATGAGTCTGGTGTGTGTGAAGTGTTGGTGGTGGTGGGAGGGGCTCATGGCACACACTGCTTGCCCTGGTTCTGTCAGTGTGCCCCAGGGCAGCTGTGGCTATAGTAGTACTTTGCCATTGTATCTCTACTATCTCTACATCTCTACTACTGATGAGGCTAAATCCGGCGCAGCCATCTTTTTAATGTCACTGTACAAACTTCAAACTTCTTACTATAGCGTTATTATAAAAAAGCATCTGCTGATCTAAAGCTGTGACTGAGACAAACATTAATGTGGGTGAAAACTAGTGAAAGAGCGAGGAACTGAATACATTTTTATTTTTATTTTGTTGTGCTTTGAAAGTTACCCTGAATTTCTTCTGTATGGGGATCAATGAAAAACTCAATCTACAGTCTCCTCCCAGCAATGTATGTATGTGTGAATGAATGAATGAATGAATGAATGATGAATGAATGAATGAATGAATGAATGAATGAATGAATGAATGAATGAATGAATGAATGAATGAATGAATCAATCAATCAATCTATCTATCTATCTATCTATGTATCTATCTATGTATGTATGTATGTACCTATACATCTCTGTACCTATAGAACATTTATTATTTTTCTTTTTTTTTTGCCAGCTGCGTCTGGAATGAGAACGATTCACCCTCAGGAATAAATAAAGTGATTTTCAATCAACACAAACTTTAAAAGAAAACAATGTCTCTGTCTGCATATTTTTTAAAATCTTTGAATGTTGTGAGAAAATACACAAACACACTGAATGAGTCTGGTGTGTGTGAAGTGTTGGTGGTGCCCCAGGGCAGCTGTGGCTATAGTAGCACTTTGCCTTTGTATGACATCTCTACTACTGATGATGTGCAGCCATATTTTAATAGTATAAGTATAAAATCTCTAACTTTAGCATAATAAAGAAGCATTAGTATTTATGGTTCGGGCTGAGAGCTGATTGGCTGAGTGAGGGTGGTCCTCTATCTTTTCACTTTTCTGCTGATCTAAAGCTGTGACTGAGACAAACATTAATGTGGGTGAAAAATAGTGAAAGAGCGAGGAACTAAATACATGAATTTTTATTTTATTTTGTTGTGCTTTGAAAGTTACCCTGAATTTCTTCTGTATGGGGATCAATGAAGAACTCTTCCCAGCAATGTATCTATCTGTCTATCTATCTGCATATCATTCTGTCTGTCTGTCTATCTATCTACCTACATATCAATGTATCTATCAATCTATCTATTCATTTATCGATCTGTCAATCTATCTATAACCTTCTATCTGTGTATCCATGTATCTACGAATCTATCTGTTAGGTACTTAAAATACACATGTCCTTGTTTAGTGAAGAACTAAAAAGGGTTAGAATGAGGAGAGGAGAATCAGAGAGAGGAGATAGATGGACAGAGGAATGCAGGCTAATAAAATCTACCCCTCTGCTTTTGTCTTTGCTCATTCCCAAAAGCCAATTGTACATCTGGAGAGCAGCCACAGGAGACACAAGCTTCACGTTTTTTTTTTCTTCTTCTTCTTCTTTACAACCGGCTTTCAAAGTTTCAACCCTCATTAAGCCCTACCGCGGGTCATCGCACAAATTACCCCAAATTGTCGACAAATTGTGCAGCCGTCAGATTGGGCGCAGGGTTTTTGTGAGTGCGGGGGGCGTATCTTTTACATTATAATTGTTTTCATGTCTTGGAGATGGCAGTGGTACAGAAATATGACGTTACACAGGACATGAGTCATCTGTGAGAGAGGAAATATTTGCTATGAGAATGATTGCATGACTTAAATGTTATTCTTCATGTGCCGCACACTGCAAAAAAAAAAAAAAAGCAAAAAATGGCTGTCTGTTAAATGATGTATGTATTTTTTGATATGGTGTAAACTGAAAGATGCATCAAGTGTAAGCAGTACAGGTATGTACATGTGTCTCTCTGGTCTCTCTTTGGACTGTTTTTGGGCTCTGCGGTCTCTCTCTTGTCTCTCTTTCTCTGGCTTTTCTTTGGTCTCTAGTCTGTCTGGTCTCTCTGGTTTCTCTCTGGCCTCTCTCTGGTCTCTCTCTGTTCTGGTCTCTCTGGCCTCTCTCTGGCCTCTCTCTGGTCTCTCTCTGTTCTGGTCTCTCTGGCCTCTCTCTGGCCTCTCTCTGGCCTCTCTCTGGCCTCTCTCTGGTCTCTCTCTGGTCTCTCTCTGGTCTCTCTCTGGTCTCTCTCTGGTCTCTCTCTGGCCTCTCTCTGGCCTCTCTCTGGTCTCTCTCTGGTCTCTCTCTGGTCTCTCTCTCTGGTCTCTCTCTGGTCTCTCTCTCTGGTCTCTCTCTCTGGCCTCTCTCTGGTCTCTCTCTGGTCTCTCTCTCTGGCCTCTCTCTGGTCTCTCTCCTTGCTCCCTCTCTCTTTGACCCCTCTCGTGCCTCTAGTGGATATTGGTGATACTTCAGGTTCATGGACTTTTAAAGCTTGAGGAGATATTACGCAAAATCTACTTTTTGAACCATGTTACGAGTGCATTTTAGGCTTATTTCCTTTTGAAACGCCGTGCAGCACATACATCATTACTACTGACTCCACAGGGCACATAAGTCACGCCATAACGTTCGCAAACACAAACTGAATAGAAAATATTATATGAATATAATAAGCATATATGAATATGCTGCGAAGGCCATAGTAACGTCTAACACCAAGTAAATTAGCACAAAAGGTAGAATCCTGCGTTTACACTGCATCAGAGTACATGAACTGGACTGTATGTTCCTGGATCCATTCACCTCCTGGACGTTGGTATTTCAGAGTCATCCAAGCTTCAAAGAGACGTTTGAACTTTTGCCGTATACAGTTCATACACGATGCCACATCAAGGTACAACGCTCAATCATAAAAGTCACAGCGCATCACCTGAGCAGCGAGGAGGAAATCCATCTCCCGCCGCTGCCTCTGCTGCGGGCCACACAAGTACATAGAGACGGGTTTATATGTACGGGTCTGATCTCGATAGTCTCCCTCTGGTCTCTCTTTGGTTTCTATGGTCTGTCTATTTGGTCTCTCGATGGTTTTTTTCTTGGGTCTTTATTTAGTCCCTCTCTCTCTCTGGTCTCTTGTCTTTCTCTGGCTTCTCTCTGTGGTCCCTCTCGGGCCTCTCTCTGGTCTCTCTCTGGTCTCTCTCTGGGCTCTCTCTCTGGTCTCTCTCTGGGCTCTCTCTCTGGTCTCTCCCTGGGCTCTCTCTCAAGTCTCTCTCTGCTCTCTCTCTGGGCTCTCTCTCTGGTCTCTCTCTGGCCTCTCTCTGTGGTCTCTCTCTTTGGTCCCTCTCTGGTCTTTCTTTGGTCTTTCTCTGGCCTCTCTGTGGTCTTTCTCTGGTCTCTCTCTGGTCTTTCTCTGGCCTCTCTGGTCTTTCTCTGGTCTCTCTCTGGTCTTTCTCTGGCCTCTCTGGTCTCTCTCTGTTCTCTCTCTGGTTTCTCTCTCTGGTCTCTCTGATTTCTCTCACTGGTCTCCTTTTGGTCTCTATCTAGTCTCCCCCTGGTCTTCCTCTTCGGCTTGGTTTCTATGTAGTCTCTCTCTCTAGTATCTCTCTTTGGTCTCTTGTCTCTCTATCTAGTCTCTCTCGTTGGTCTCTCTCTCTCTTCTCTCTCTTTGGTCTCTTGTCTCTCTCTGGCCCCTAGCTTTTGTCTCTCTCTCTGGTCATTTTCGTAATTCCAATCCCTTGTTTGATTGTTTCTATCTTGTTTTGCATCACTCTTTTAACACCTTTCGATATGTACAAATACAACTTTTTGATTTGTTTTGATACCAGCACATAGAAAGCTCATATCTCAGTCTCCCCTCCGACAGACCAGACTTCGCCCTGGATCTAATTTCCCGAGCTTCTTCCCCCCGGACGTCTCACACACTCTCTCACACTCACACTCACACACATGTCCACGGCCATAAATAACCCCGTCTGCCCATGTCCGCACACGTACCGCCTTCGTTGTCCTTGCCGTCAGTGCAGAGCGTCTCCATGGCGACGTGACACCCGGCCCCTCGCCACCCGGACTGACAGATGCAGTGCCACCCGCTGGCCTCCAGGGTGCAGCGTCCGTTGTTGTTGCACAGGCCCGGACATCCCTCTGTGGTTATACAGGAGACACATGGACAGAGTTTGACAGTGTGCACCAGGAAATAATAGTGTGTACCATGTGTGTGTGAGAGAGACAGGCTTTGACCAGTGACAGAGACAAGGCTACAGGTCAAAGAACATGTGACCAGATGGATGTTAAGTTTGCTTTGAATGGACGGTGATTTAGTTAAGTCTGAATCAATCCATGTCGATTGCTTAAGACAGGGGTAATGAAGACGGAGTGGCTGCAGGTTTTCAGTCCAACCAAGCAGGAGCAAAGCAGACTCTACCCATTTCCTCAAGTCTCCAGGATAAGACTAGACTCACTGGAAGAAGTGGGTGGAGTCTGCTGTGCCCCTGCTTGGTTAGAGCCCTGTCAGAGAAGTGGAATGTCCCTTCATAGGCCACTATAGAGAGCAGATTCAGTGACAGACTTATTCACCATCACTGCGTGAAGGGGATAAGATAAGATAAACTTTATTGATCTCACATGGGATAAATGTACATGTCTCATTCATTAGAGTCCCTCAGGGTGCGCAAAAGAGACAGAAAGTGTGCAAACATTTCAGAAAAAATAGTCTCTTTTGTGCAAGATATATTATGTACAATAAAATTAAAAGAGACTACAGCAGTGCAAGTTTTTTCGGTCCTAGTGCAAGTCATTAAAGTGACTTATTGTATAGTTTGATGTAGTAAATACAGTTTAAATAGTAAATGTGGAATAGTGCAATTTCAGAGTGTCCCCTGAATGTCACTTTGTATCTATCTACTTCTCTATCTACTATCCTGCCCTATATGTATATAACTTCTATCTATCTACACATTTAGATATATTGATATTGAAGCATTTACAGCAAGCTAAGAAACATAGCATCTATAATGAAGCTAGAATAAAGGTTCCTTTCGTTGATTTTTGTCCGATATTTCTCCAAACAAAGCCAGCCATTTTCCATGATATTTGTTTTAGATAACATTTGACACATGTCCATTGTTTGCATGTGGATTGACTGTAGTGAATGAACTTCTCGGTCAGCACATCGGTCGTCCTCTCCGCGGCACAGACAGCAGCCTTGTGGAGCCTGCCTCGGTCAAAGCCTTGGTCTCCAGTGAGTGAGTGTTTTAGCCTTATAGTTAATGCACCTCTCTTCAACAAATGGACTGACAGACTGAAAGACAGAGCCAGAGACAAATCCGAACGATCAATACCAAACAATACAAACGCAGAGACATTAAGACAGCCTTCGGTGGAATGCCAAAGATGTTGTAGTTTCACATGAACACGAGGGGCAAACAAAAAAGTAGACTTTGTAAGTAGACAAAAAAAATAGGACTGCTGTATAGATATATGTATGCGTCATTATCTGTAGGGGAAGAAACACGTTATTGCCGATGGAAGACGAAAGCAAAGAACGAAAAGAGAGGGGAAAAAACAGCAGACAAAGTATAAGGTTATTAACAATTGGAGATTTGGAGTTTTGTCTGATCTCGGAGGGAATTTTGCAGACAGAGGCGGGTTGAATAATCCATGTGAAAACACAACAGGAAGACGAGGAGAGAAGCCAGCTCACAAAGTATAGGGAGGTGGACTGTTTTGCTTGTTGGAGTAAAAAAAAGAAAGAAAAAGCATGCCTCCCAAACGCTATACTTTATGCGGCCACCACATTCCTCCGATCGCAAAAGAGAGACGAAAACATGAGGCTGGCTGATTCAAAGTATACGCATAAAAAAATGAAAAGAAACATAATAGACAGGAGTAATTTCAGAAGACAAACAAGCAAACCCCATTTGGAGAGATAGAGGAGAGAACAATTGTGAGACAGGGACAGCAGCTGGCTTCATTGACACATACATACAGTATAATCAGGCGTCTAGATGCAAGACAAAACAAACATATTGACTTTTGGGGGTGTGTTGAAAGTGCATTTTGGACGGTGGAGGAGAGATATGTTACAAAAGATGCAGCACAGAGACTGGAAAATTGTACCAGGTTAATATGGACACGGTTGAGAGGTTTAAGTTGAAATGGCAAACTGCAAGAATGATTGGAGAACTGGTCATTTCTTGGCATGGTACATATATAGGTTGAATTTTTATAATGTTGAAAATTGAATTGAAAAAATATATCTTTTTGTCTGACTAGTTCACCCGAAATGGCAGCCACACCATCTGCCTCAAGTCAATCAATGAATTAAACGCGGCTATGTAACAATTTGTATGAATTGCACTATACAAATAAACTTGCCAAGTACTATTACCCTTTTTTCAAAACCGTAATTCTCAGGATATTAAGCACTACTTTTGTCTCTAGCCTCAAAGCCTGTGGTTTATACAAAAAAGCATCAAAAGGCTCCCCCCTGGAGGCTTATGGGCCCCTGTGCAGAGACAGGATTTTTATATTGTCGTATCTTCGTTTTCCGTTACCATGAAAACTGGGAAGAGTTGGGTCCTGATTTTGCAGGCTGCCGCATGTGCCTGTTGTAAAAGGCTGTTGTAATACCGTTGTAAACAAACATTGAAGTCCCTCTTACAGGATTTCACTCACACACGTGTAAGAAAACCCAGTGGTATTATAGACTTCATTTGACGGAACGTTTTTGAAGAGATTTTTTGACGTTTCGCTACAGATTGGATAAATTCTGGAGCTCTATACATTCCGTCATGGAAGATAACAGCTAAGCTAAAATGCTGGAACTCTGTTAATTGTCAACATGGAAGATAACAGCTTACTAAGCTAAAAGTCATGAAGTCCATTTATTGTTGACGTAGAAGCTAACAGCTGAGCTAAAAGGCTGGAACTCTATTCATCGCTGACATGGAAGCTAACAGCTAAGCTAATGTGAGTAATAGCAAAATCTTTGGAATTCTGTCTCCAACATGAATGTTAAGAAATATTCCCTTTTAAACAGACAAGTAGATTCAAGTTTGGGTTGAGGTAAGGTCAAGGGTGAGGCTAGCTTCCTGTGGGGTGAAATACCAAGATTTTAGTGAGTCGCCAAGCTGAAATCTTGGTATTTCACCCCACAGGAAGGTTGAGGTAAGGTCAGGGGTGAGGCTAGCTTCCTGTGGGGTGAAATACCAAGATTTTAGTGAGTCGCCAAGCTGAAATGTTAGCATCCTCAGTTGTACCTTACCACAAGAAATCCTGCAGTTTGAATTCAATCCAGGTTAATTTATGTATGTTTTAAGGTTAAGTTTGATTTATTTTAAAATGTAACGCTCAGAACCCGAGAAGTACGGTTCATGTGTCCTCCAAAATGTTCAGTACAAGTTCACATTTGGGCTCCTTTTTAAAATTTCCGACACAGAAGCCAGAACAGCTACAACCTTTTGAAACATACCTCTCTGATTTCTGATTGTCAATGTGCATCCGTGCATTAACTTTACGATATCGTCTGCGTGTGTGTGCGTGGCTGTGTATTCAAAAGACAAGGACACAATAATGTAACCAGAAAAAAACAGACATATATATAAATATATATACAAAGAGACAAACAAGCTTGGACACGGTCAGAGAGAGACAGTATCTTCATGGACAGATAGAAAAGACAGCAAAAGTGAAATGAGTGCAAAAATTGTGATTGGTTTTGGGACAGCCTTGAGTCAAGTCTTTGGTTATTTGAATTACCTTTATATCCTGAGAATAGGAGAGGGCACGGGGGGAGAGAGGGAGGAAAATTAGGGATAAAAAACGTAAATTGAAAAAACAAAACTGAAAAGAAAAACTCAAACACAGCACTGGCAACACTGTCGATGATCATTGGGAATTTCATGGTAAAGACAAAGGGAAAAGAGAAGAGAGAGAGAGAGAGAGAGAGAAGGGACTGGGACAATACTGCGTCAGGACCACAACACATCATTCAAGAAGAGAAGTATGTCGTGGCTGAGAATATTCATATACAATTACAGATTTGCATTCAGTATAACGGAGCACATGTGGACGATGTTACAGTAAAATGTCTTGGTGATTGTCGAAAGCAGAATGTGGACTCGCGATCGCACACACACACACACACACACACACGTACACACGTACACACACACGCACACGGCCCAAGATGTGGTTTGGCACTTAGTAGCAGAGTGGTTCTCGTACATTGTTTTAGCGTGAGATAGCATATGTTAAAATTCCATAGCAGTTTATTACATCCAAGGAAAATGACCAAGGTTTTTGTCTGGCATTTTGAGGCAGATCGGTTGTCAGACGTTGTTATAGCGTGAGAGAGAATATGTTAAAATTCAAAGCAATTTATAATAGCCAAGGAAAACTTAGGAAAAGTTTTTAGTTATGTGAAATAAAGGTGTTTATATTACGAGATGTTTTGACCATTATTTTATAACTTGGTCTCCCCTGTGCCTTCCTTAGTTCTACTTCCTGTTGCTTAGTTTTACTTGCTGTTGTTTAGTTCTACTTCCTGTTCATTCGTTCTACTTCCTGTTTATTAGTGTTGTCTAGTTCTACTTCCTGTTTATTAGTCTTGTCTAGTGCTACTTCCTGTGTATTAGTGTTGTGTAGTTCTACTTCCTGTTTATTAGTGTTGTGTAGTTCTACTTCCTGTTCCTTAGTTCTACTTCCTGTTCATTGGTGTTGCCTAGTTCTACTTCCCGTACCTTAGCAACTTCCTGTTGCTGGTTCTACTTCCTGTTCCTTAGTTCTACTTCCTGTTGTGTGATTACCTGCCCTGTGTTCCGTCATTTGGTAGCGGTTCAACAAATTGTTTTGCTCTATTTCAAGTTATATTCACAAGTTTTAGCGTGTATTAAAAGTTAAAACCGTATAAATTACTTCATGAAACTATGAAAAAACAAAATATGTTATTTTTTGGGAATTTTTTAAAATGCTATTGATTTCAGTTCAAGTGTTAATTTGGGGATTTAGAAGACTTCAAAATGATAATATGAAAAAAAAGTACAGAAAAGAAGTTTTGAATAGAAGTCCTTTGTTGAAATTATGGATCGCTTTAGTGTCGTTTTGTTTTTTGCAACTTGTGCTCCATTCCATATACGATATGGTCATGAGCAATAAACTAATAAATATATATATGTGTGTGTGTGTGTGTGTGTGTGTGTGTTTGTGTGTGAGAGAGAGAAAGAGCTGTACTTAAAATACCATCATTGAAAATCATTTTAATTAATTTCCTGTCCGTGAGTAGGCCTACTTTAACCCTTTTTCAACCCTCGGGTCAAAATCACCTGCAGTAGTAACTAAAAGTAGACCCTTTTAAATTAGGGTCTGAAAGGGCTGGTCATGTTAAATTTAGGGTTGTTTTTAATCACTGTGGCGGGTCGTTTGAAAATAGTGCAGTCTGCAAGGTTAGGAATGGTTTGCAGGGATTCTTATCTGTCATTTCTGGCTTTTTGTGGATGACTCTCTTTGCTGTACTTGTCTGTAAAGTCCATTCTGAGCAGCATTCCAAGCAAATCTGTATGGCCACCATAGAAAATTGTCACCGGCAAATTCCCCCATTCGGGAAAGTGACACGGAGCACGTTTCCTAACGCCACACACAATGACAGAAAGGTGCATTCCTACGTTCGAATTAATCTGATTAGAAACGGCAGGACGGCTCCACACCGGTTTAGTTGCCGCGGTGACACAGGCGGTGGATATTGGGAGTAACATGACCATGGTCTGTGTGTGACAGTGACTGCGATTCGCTCAGAGACTCCTGTTCTAACCCGGACTCCAGAATACCGAGCCTGACAGAAGCAGCTGCCACTGTCTCACAGCCAATATCCATTCAGACAAAGAAGTTCCATATTCGAGGCTATAAATTCTATCACAACTGCCTCATTCCAGCTGTTAATGTTGTATTCAATTACTTGTACAAAACCAGCCCCCTGGTTGCTATGGTAAGCCCCCTGGTTGCTATGGTGAGCACCCTGGTGGCTATGGTGAGCACCCTGGTTGCTATGGTAAGCCCCCTGGTTGCTATGGTGAGCACCCTGGTGGCTATGGTGAGCACCCTGGTGGCTATGGTGAGCCTGTTGGTTCCTATGGTGAGCACCCTGGTTGCTATGGTAAACCCCCTGGTTGCTATGGTGAGCCCCCTGGTTGCTATGGTAAGCCCCCTGGTTCCTATGGTGAGCCCCCTGGTTGCTATGGTAAGCCCCCTGGTTGCTATGGTAAGCCCCCTGGTTGCTATGGTGAGCCCCCTGGTTGCTATGGTGAGCCCCCTGGTTCCTATGATGAGGCCCCCTGGTTGCTATGGTGAGCCCCCTGGTTGCTATGGTAAGCCCCCTGGTTGCTATGGTAAGCCCCCTGGTTGCTATGGTGAGCCCCCTGGTTGCTATGGGAGCCCCCTGGTTCCTATGATGAGCCCCCTGGTTGCTATGGTGAGCCCCCTGGTTGCTATGGTAAGCCCCCTGGTTGCTATGGTGAGCTGAAATATCAGTTGATAAAAATACTAACTACATGTTAAAACTTGTCAGGTAATTAAGCGGTACTAGCTTCTTTACATATAATATTTGGTCTTACTTAAAGAACCTTCTAAGCCTTACATACAACATTAGGTCATTGAATTTAGAGGAGCTCAGAGTAGAGCCGCTGCTTCTTAACGGCGGGAGGATCCATTTGAGGTAGCTCTGGCAAATGTCTAGTTTTGGTTTGTGATATTTTTTTATATTTGTTGAACCATAATTTGGATTTGGGTGTAGGTGAATTGTTCCTTTGGTGTTTTACATGTTAATTATGTTTCAATGTACTTTAATAATACATTTTTGTCCTTTTTACCTACTTTTGATGAGTTTAGTACCATGGGACTAATTTGGATTATATGCCACATTTTGACGCTTGTCTTTGCAAACTGGGGGCTTGTTCAGGATATAGTTGAACATATATTTATATATAGATTTGATAATTAAAAGTACCCCAACTTTTATTTTAAAAGGACAAAGGACTGAGGAAAGACTGGGAAACGGATATTGTTAAGATATTTAGAGTTTTTCCTTGCCGATACAAGAAGGTCCAAGGACATTTATGGACTTTATCAACATTTATGAACCATTTTGGACCAATGTATGAACGGTTTGATTTTCTGATCTGTTTTTGGCAAATCAACGGTTTTGTAAAGTCCTTCGAGGTAACGTACTGTTGTGATTTAGGCCTATGCCAAAACAAATTGAATTGAATTAACTGGGCCTTTTATCAGGGCATCAAACCTTCTAAACTTTGACTCTTTTTAAAAAGTATTTACAATAATAGGAATTCTGGGTCTCGCGTGTGCAATCTGACAGGGAATGATCCACCCGGCTCACTGTACATAGCTTAGCGCTAAAACACATGCTAACGTTCCATGTGATTTGTGAGCATCAAGTGGGCTGAACTGTGACCCGCGCAACCACGCATTTAAAACAACTACAAAGTCCCAGGGAGGGGAATTTATGATTTCAAAACGCTTCCACATCTGGCTACAACATGTGCCCCAACCACTTCCTGGCGGCTAGCAATGGACGCAGCGATAGTTTGAGGTATACGTGCAAAAGTATGGACACCGACGTGCGCTCTGTGTGTGATGGATGGCTGCGTTTCATCTCGGGAAAGGAATGGACTGAGACATGCATCTGCAGCTGGAACATGTGAAGAAATACATTTTACAGGATGCAAGGACAGTGCAAGAAGAGCGTGTTGATTTAAAGCTGTCAATTAATGTGATTTAAATAGGTTATATATTACAAGTATTATGGGGGTGGGTTGCGTTCATGTGACATCACTGTATTCCAAAGAGCTCATGGATTAGCGTCGTGGTGGAAGGCAGCTGAGAAACCTTTCCTGGGAGCTATGGTTAGTGTCAAAAGTCATATAGTCATATACAAAGGTGACAAAAAGTGGTCTGTCTTGTGTCTCTCTCTCTGGTCTCTCTCTAGTCTCTTTCCCTGCTCTTTCTGATCCATCTTTGGTCCATTCCATGTCACTCTCTCTGGTCTTTCTGGTCCCTCTCTCTGATATCTCTCTCTGGCCTCTCTCTGGTCTCTCTCTTGTCTCTCTCTAGTCTCTCTCTAGGGTCTTTCTCTGATGTCTCTCTCTGGTCCCTCTCTGGTCTCTCCTTAGTCTCTTTCTCTAGTCTTTCTGGTCTTTCTGGTCCCTCTCTCTGCTCTTTCTCTGGTCTCTCTCTAGTCTCTCTCTGGTCTCTCTCTGGTCTCTCTCTGGTCTCTCTCTGGTCTCTCTCTGGTCTCTCTCTAGTCTCTCTCTGGGGTCTTTCTCTGGTCTCTCTCTAGTCTCTCTCTGGTCTCTCTCTAGTCTCTCTCTAGGGTCTTTCTCTGGTCTTTCTGGTCCCTCTCTCTCTCCTCTCTCTGGTCTCTCTCTAGTCTCTCTCTAGGGTCTTTCTCTGGTCTCTCTCTAGTCTCTCTCTGGTCTCTCTCTAGTCTCTCTCTAGGGTCTTTCCCTGGTCTTTCTGGTCCCTCTCTCTCTCCTCTCTCTGATGTCTCTCTCTGGTCCCTCTCTGGTCTCTCCTTAGTCTCTTTCTCTAGTCTTTCTGGTCTTTCTGGTCCCTCTCTCTGCTCTTTCTCTGGTGTCTCTCTCTGGTCTCGCTCTGGTCTCATAAAGCCGTCCAGAAGTGGTGACAATGAACATGAACGCAACCTATTCAACCTATCTTTAATTTTTGTTTGGCTAAATTAAAGTTACTGTTAAAATATGTTGCAATATTTAATGTTAATAATGTATTCAGATATAAGCTATATCTCACTACAGGTCACATATGTAATCATTCAGGAGAGTTTGGCACCTGTATTTTAGACCTTTAAAGTCTAGAAAATAAATAGAAAATCTGGATACAAGTCAGTATTGTTTGGTGGCATTGGTAAAATAAGCCACATTCAAATATTGGGCCATTTTAATCCTATTGTAAAATAAGCTAAACTTGCTAACCTAATCTAACCATGAACTAATTAGCTAAAAAGCAGAATATCTATCGGTATAACAGACAGGCCAGTTTCAACATTGAGCATCTTGTGAGGGGGAGGGGGCAGGTCTGAAAAACGTTTATAAAAATATAAAAATGTGGTTATTAAACAGGCAATGACTAAAACAATACATCACATATGAACAAAAACATGAAATCAATCAAAATGACAATAGCAAGTCCCGATGGGCAGCAAAGAGGACGGTGATGCAACAAATACCAAATAATATAAATAAATATTATAGCTTTTCGTGTTCAGCGAGAAAAAAGCAAAGATGGCGGACGATATGGGATGGAACAAGGGAACGTTCAACCATACCTTTAACTCGAATGTCCGGATTGTGAGCTTTAAGGAAATAAGGGAAAAGAAGGAGGAGAGAGAAAGGAGAGAGAGAGAGAGAAGGTAGAAAGACACAAGAAAGTATTTATTTTGTGAACTGGAATTGAGAAAAATTGCGATTGGGAGTGGGGTAGATAAGCAAAGCCAACATATTCAAACTTTTACACTGAACAATTGAGAGAGAGAGTGAAAAAGGTAGATTTAAGAAAAAGAAAATTAAAGAATGTAATGCTGTCCAATCCAACACTGCAAAAAATGATGATATATGAGGTAATAAAAGCTTAAATCAAATATTTTTTTATTTTGTGTTTTTTCTCATTCTTTTTTTTCTCATGTATTATTATTTTTTTTTTTTTAAATCATTTTGCTTTGTCCTTTTGGCAAATCTTGTTTTAAGGTAGTCAAAAAATGCGCTCACGTTTAGATACATTTTACCCAATTTTAGCATTTTTTTAACATATTTTTCAACACTTTTTGCAGTGAACAAGGCGATGATTCTCAAACTTTTCTCATAAAACCCAACCTAATGCTCCATGCTGATTGGTTGGACTCCCAAGAACCAGTTTCAGCAGCTGAACAAGTAGCAGTTTTGAAAGTGCATAATATTAAAGTCTAATGGTTAATTCTCTGTTTTCTATCCGTCTCCATGGAAACAAAATAATGGGGAAAAGATTTGAAATGAAAGACCCTTTGTACAAACAGGAGATGGACCGATTTCGTGTTAAACTGGACACGAATTTGATTTGAAACAGACAAAAGGCAAAAAAGTCCAAAAAAGGTTAAAAGTGATATAGGAGTATTTCTGGTTCTGGTTCTGGTTTGACCCACATCACTGCAAATAAACCCAAAATATTACTCTCAAAGTGGAAAATTACCTAACTTTGAGTGCGTAAATAGTAATAGTAATAGTAATAGTAAGTTTTTATTTATATACCGCCTTTTCACTGCAGATCTGAGTCTCAAAGCGGTTTACAATTGTTAATTTTTGGGCACTTGTCTCACTCCACACAGAGATGGGAGCGGGGTCGCCAGTACAGGAGGCGCATGCCAGAACTATTGGACATATTTTTAGTGGTAGGGGAAACCGGAGTACCCGGAGGAAACCTACGCAGACACGGGGAGAACATGCAAACTCCACTCAGAAAGGCCCTGGTCCGACCGGGATTCGAACCCAGGACCTTCTTGCTGAGAGGCGAGAGTGCTATCCACTCAGCCACCGTGCCGCCGTGCCGCCGCCGATGATCAAAGAAAAAAAAAGGGTGTGGCTGAGTGGTTAGCCCTCTTGACTCTCAGCAATAAGGTTCTGGGTTTGAAGCCTGGTTGTAGCAGGGCTTTTCTGAGTGGAGTTTGCATGTTCTCCCTGTGTCTGTGGGAGAGGAAACCTATTCCTCTCTTCCCAGTTAGTTGTATATTGTTGTATTGGATTTATGGTGTAGGGTCGGAGAGTGTTTTGGGCTTGTGTGTGGTCTGAGTGTGTGTGTGTGTGTGTGTTTTGTCCGAGTGTGTGTGTATGTTTTGTCTGTCTTATACCATATGTGGTAGTGATATGTATTGTATATACTGTACAATTGTGTGTTTTGGAATTGCATGACATTATTATAGCAGTGTATTGTGTGGCGTGTCTATATATGTACAGTACGTATGTGTGTGTGTGTGTGTGTGTGTGCGCGCATGTGTGTATGTATGTTTGTGTGTGTGTACATGTGTGTATGTGTGTGTCTATGTGTGTGTGTGTGTGTGTGACGGAGGTTGGAATCAAATAAGTATTCACTCTACCCAACCCCTTTTCAAACCATGTACTTGTTTTTTGTCTGTTACATTGATGTGTGTGAAGATATTTCTTGTCCAGGTTCAAAATAAACAATCTAACCTAAAAATAATCAAATCTATTATGATATAGTTCAACAGTTTTCATCTTGAATGTTACATACCCCGGCTTTAAACACGAGAAAACGCTAGATTACTGTGTGGCAGAGGTCGCACACTGATCAGCTTGGCGATATTGGAAATTAAATGAGACTTAGAGTTACAGGCCGGTGTAAATCTGCGGCCTCGGCATCTGCGCCTGTAAAGATCGTAATTTCTAGTTTTTAATGATCGCTTAACGCAGTCTGATTCCGGCTTCTCACAACAGGATTTAGTACCACTTACATTTACATACTCTGCTGATGAAACGCTGCCCATAAGACGTCGGAGATTGAAACGTAGCGAAAACAAAAGACCAACTCATTCCAACTTTAAATTATGTTGTGTTTCCAAACTTCTTGACCGGGATGACTGGAATAATTGTAATTGCGAAACCATTTGCATATTGTAGAGAAAGGGAGGCAGAATAAAAGTACTTAGTTACTATTGTGGACAGGCTGTGGTTGCAGGGATCACTTTTCATGACTGTTTAAATCTACATTATTATTGGTTCTGAATTGGAATCTCCAAAGACAATATATTGGTTTTATACAGCTGTGTTTTGGCCGGTCAAAACACAGTGGTGATAAACAGCTAGAGCAGACACAGCTGCCCTGGGGCACACTGACAGAAGCGAGGCAACCAGTATGTGCTCCGACCACCACCAACCATTCACACACACCAGACTCATTCTAATGTGGGTGAGGTGTCTTGCCTATAAGGACACCAAGATTCAAGAATTTATTTGCCATTTGCAGTAAAACCACATTGGAAAAACTGTGCAAGACTACTCCTACTTGGTGTTCCCAGAGGTCTCCCATCACAGTGCTAACCAGGCCCTGTCCTGCTTAGCTTCAGACGTCTGACAGGATCTGGCTTTCGTATGCAGGCTAGAATAACATCTCTTTAGCTTTAGCATAATAAAGAAATAAGTCTAAAATCTCTAACTTTAGCACAATACATACTTTTTTTCTTTCATTATTCTTAGCTATGGATCCTGTGCGTGCATGCGAGTCCTTAATAAAGTCTAAATAAAATTAAAAAATAAATACAGCAGCAAGTATAACAGAATGTATTTTCATGTGCAAGAAATGTATAGTTGTATGTACACACCTGCACACGTTAGCATGTTAGCACGTGTTTGATCGTTATCAGGTTTTCACTGCCGCTTCTCCGGTAAATGCAGAGTAAAAAATACTTTAGTAACAATATTTCACACCACAAAAACAGCGTCGTAACTTTAGCTAAAGTCTTCACAGTGAGTAGACAGTCTGTGCCACTGCTTGAACCCGATGCTAAACCACATGGCCTGGATTAGCTAATGTGTATTATTGGAGTAGATTTGGAGGCGCATGAGCTAAACGCCGGGCCTGGTTTAAGTCACCGGTGGCAGGCACACGCACACACAGCACTGGCTGATGCCCAGCTTGGCTCCAAAGAAACTGTTTTCCATTTAAAAGTAATCCTCGGTGGTTTGTGTTTAGTACCTACGGGCGAATCCTGATAGACCGAGCTTTCATCTACGTTAGCAATTTAGCTAAACGTTTATTATGCTATAAGAAAAGGAGATATATATATATAAATGGTGCCTGCTATATTTTATACATCTGCTATGTTTCTTTCTTATGCTAACCGTACTGATTTATTATGCTAACGTCAGAGATTTCATACTAGCTTCTTTGTTATGCTAACGTCAAAGATTTTATGCTTGCTTCTTTGTTATGCTAACGTCAGAAATGTTATGCTTGCTTCTTTATTATGCTAACGTCAGAGATTTCATACTAGCTTCTTTGTTATGCTAACGTCAAAGATTTTATGCTTGCTTCTTTATTATGCTAACGTCAGAAATGTTATGCTTGCTTCTTTATTATGCTAACGTCAGAGATTTCATACTAGCTTCTTTGTTATGCTAACGTCAGAGATTTCATACTAGCTTCTTTGTTATGCTAACGTCAGAGATTTCATACTAGCTTCTTTGTTATGCTAACGTCAGAGATTTCATACTAGCTTCTTTGTTATGCTAACGTCAGAGATTTTATGCTTGCTTCTTTATTATGCTAACGTCAGAGATTTTATTTTAGTTTAGTATTATATTTAGAGTTATTGTTCACTTACAATATGTTAACTTAATCTTAATCTTATATTTCCCCAAAGAATAACATGGTTTAAAATGCTAATCAATGTCATATATTTGTATAAAATGTCCTACAAACTTTGCTAGCATACAGAACTTTGATAGCAGGTAAACAGACCAGTTTTCATGTGTTCATATATATTACCGTAACTCTTATATTGTTGGGTTTTTTTGGTACTTTTTAACTTTACAGCACTTTGGTTTAGCCTGTGCTGTTTTAAATGTGCTCTAAAAATACAGATTGGTTGATGGAGGACAGAGAATGTGCAACGTGTGTCAACAAAAATGTCAGATAGATTCATAAACACTGACTACATGTACTGTATGCTAGCGCGGTGGTAGCCCAGACCTCTGCTTTCTCTCACGCATGCACCATTCTGACCGGAGTGTTTGGTCATAACTTCAGGTGTGTTATTGGAAGAAAGTCTATATAGGGCGCCTAAACTTATAACTGTACGCATGTTTAAAATCAGCTTGAGAACCACACAGGAGCCTGGACAAGTCCCAGTGCACTTGGCACACAGACACTGTCCTTCCGACCACAAATTAAGTCAAGCTATTAATGTCTAATTTGGTGGAGAGCTGCTTTGTGTCTCTGGTACAGGACCAGACGCAAGGAAAGGGCGGCCATTTTGTTTTTAATGTAGCGCTAGAGTGGAAATGTCCTAGTACTGGGAGCCTCTTCTGTCCTCGTTCTACAGTCTGAGTCCTGGATCTGTCCGTGTCTGTCTCTCAATGTGCAACTCCCTGAGGTTTCCCACTTTTTTTTTTTTCTCAGAGTGGTTCCTTTCTGATGCAGGATGGTCTAAGGACAGTGAAGATCCAGGACAGTTAAGAATATTTATTGATATTCATGGACATTGGTCATCTGCCTCTTATGGACCTATGGCTCTATGTGTTTTTATTGTATTCCTACTGTATGTTGGGCGTGTTTGATTCTCTGATCTGTGAAGACGAATCAACAACTTCACAGAGATAACTGCTGTTGTGATTTAGGTCTATACAAAAACACATTGAATTGAATTTAAAAGGACATTTATGGACATAAATCACCACATAGGACCAATGTTTTCTATCTGTTTGTTATTATTGCATTGCGTGTCTTCAAACTGTTTGATTCTCTGATCAGTTATTGGTGAATCGTCAACTTTGTAAAGTCCTCCGAGAAGACTGCTATTGCGATTTAGAGCTATACAAAAATAAATTGAATTGAAATAGCACTGTAATTTCTGGACTATAAAACGCTAAAAATACAAATGTTCTTTGAACCGGAGGTCTAGTGATGTAGCCAATGTATGTACTGTATGTATTTTTGTCGTGTTGTGTATGGACTTATTATTTGGACTGCAGCATTTTAGCAGCTATATGGGACACTTCACTGCACGTCACGGTGAAAAAGAAAGTTCTATACCCCAGCTTTAAAGCCATTACCACCTCTTTTCAGTGCTTTTTTTCCTGCAGCATTCTCCTTCTTCTCATCTCTGTCTCTGTGTCTCCCCTCCGGCTGCTGTCCTGTTTGCCGATCGGCCTCTCCATCAGACATTCTGTTTCGGCTAAACGCTTTCCGAACACTTCTTCTCTCTCCGATTCTTAAAAGTTCCTCTCCCCGGTGTTTGTCAGTGCGAGTGCGGACGTGACAATAACTGGAGCCAATTTACAGCTGCAGCGGTAGACTGTGCGCGAGCTGTCCGACGGTTTGACAACAAATACTCTTTAAGGAGAGAGTGAGATTCTGCTGCTGCTGCTGCTGGTGTAGTGCAAGTTTCTCCTGTGTCTAACCATGTACAGCCTATTTAGAACTGTCAGATGGGCTCTGCCTTTTTGTCTTGACGTGAGAGACATAGAGAGGTTACATTTGAAGACGTACAATGGATTTGATTCATGTTTGGCAAAGCTAGAAGTTGGCTGAATGATCAAATGTTAACTCACGAGGATAGGTTGGTGTCATACAATGCAAGAGAGAAGTGAGTACAGTCATGCAAAGGCAATGACTAGAGAGAGAGCAGAGAGAGAGAAGAGATAAAGAACAGAGAGAGACCAGAGGGAGAGACCAGAGAGAGACCCTGGAGAGACCACAGAGAGACTTGAGAGAGACCAGACAGACCAGAGAGAGAACAGAGAGAGAGACCAGAGAGAGAGACTTGAGAGAGACCAGAGAGACCAGAGAGAGAACAGAGAGAGACTTGAGAGAGACCAGAGAGAGAACAGAGAGAGACCAGAGAGAGACCACAAAGAGACTTGAGAGAGACCAGAGAGACCAGAGAGAACAGAGAGAGAGATCAGAGAGAGACCACAGAGAGACCACAGAAAGACTGAAGGGAGACCAGAGAAAGCAGAGAAAGAGAGAGAGACCAGTGACAGACCAGAGATTGACCAGAGAGACACCATGGAGAGACCACAGAAAGAGGGACCAGAGAGACCAGAGAGCACATAGAGGCCACAAAAGTACCAGAGAGAGACTAGAGCTTCTCAACAAGGCACAATGTTGTTGGAGCTGACGTTGGCTGGTTGATGATTGATTGAACTTGTGTTTATGATTTCAAGACTACTTTGTATTGGCACGACATAGGGCCACATAGCACAACACAGAGGACCAAAATCGTCCCACGGGCCTGAGTTTGGACTTGCCTGTGCTAAAATAACTGTCAATCTACTCTCAAAGATCACTGTGACACTACTTTCCGCAAAAAATAACTTTGGGACATTTTTTGGCTCATTAAAAAACCACAATGACATATTTTTCTAATTTCCAAGTTGTTTATTAAACTTTAAACGATCAAGCTGCCAACACGCACTTGTGAAGCAAAGCCTGGGGAGCAATGTGTTTTGTCGCTTTTTATTTCTTATTTTTAATTTTAGCCTTATTTATATGCAAACAAACACGCAGTGACATGTCTGTTGTTTTGGTGTTCCAGAACACACCAGCGTCGCCTTGTCGGAGCCTAAACACTGACACTGGTTGTAAGATTCACTGTCAGGATAAAAAGACATCACGGGAGTATTTATTTTAAGAGAAAAACTGGATTTCTTTTGTCGCGTTTTAGTGGGAAATTTCCATAATTGCCGCAGATAACACGCACTTATTATGGATGCAATTTGCAATGGACAGACATCTGTTTACGGCTGCATAAGTCCTAATCCTTACAGTGGGAAAAATGAGCCATAGCTAATCTATAATGGGCTTTATATAGGCTGAAATCCCTGGTTTATCTCCACTGCTTTTCTATTTGCAGAGAAAACTTAGCTTATTGCCAGTATTTTGATGCAACACACACATAGACACATTTGCAATTCAATACTGTAGTCGTTTATGTGCGATGAAAGTTGAACGAAGCTTAAAAAATAAAGAGTTGTCTCAGTTACGCATGATCTGGATAATATTTACATTGGAATTTCACGTTTAAGAATTGTTTTTAAATCGGCAATCATTTCTTGTTTGTTTATTTATTTGACATTGCACGATAAATGTATACACGTTCAGATCGGACAATGCTACAAGCTAATTTTCATATGTTTTTCCTGGGCAGAGGCAGATTTACAGTGTGCAACAAAAAAAAAAAGATAATGTGGCAAAATATAACACAATACATACAATTTACACAACACACAATTATTTGTTATATAATTACATCTGACTGTAGACTTGATTATCCTTAAACCATGTCTTAAATGTAGAAAATGTATGGATAAATATGACTAAGAGAGTAGGAGATTGCTAGAAGCTGCCAACACTGCCATCCTGTGGCCGGATTAGGAAATGACAGTCTTCTATATTCTCAATTAAATCCAAGATGTCTCACTAATAATGACAATAATAATACATACATTTTATACCGTGTTGTTCTGGTCACACACTTGAATGAATCCACTGATAACAACTGCTCTAGTCACATAAACATTACACAGATAGATGCCATAGATTCTTACACAAATACACTTATATAAACAGATCTCGCCAAGAAAAGTCCACTCACCGATGTTGCAGTGCTCGCCGGTCCAGCCCTGGTCGCACTCACACTTGCCCTCCTTGCACACCCCGTTCTTGGTGCACATCGGGTGGCAGGCTTTTTGGTCACACAGGCTTCCCGTCCATCCTTCCTCACAGCGGCACACTCCGCCGTAACAGACTCCGTGAGAACCACAGTCCACCTCGCACACCTCTGCAACAAGGTCAAGATGAAAGAGAGAGAGTTAGAGAGGTCGGAGAAGCAGTTTTAAAAAGTACTTAGTCACTTTTAACGTATTTATTGTGGGAAAAAGACGATAATTGCAAATTTCCCGTCTTCTGCACAACTGGAGTGATCCCATTTATGCCAAATGTGAGATGTAATATCCTCCATTGTGAGATCTATTAAGTCTTTCTTATCTTGTCTAATTTAATAAGATGGAAAAAATGGTTATGGACCCATTTCTACCCACAAATTCAACATTGTTTTCTACTTCAATTCAAATCAATGTATTTTTGTAAAGCCCTGAATCGTTGTAGTTATCTCGAAGGACTTTACAACACAGGAAATGCAACAATAGAAAAACAACACCTAGATCCATTGGTCCATAAGGAGCAGATCACCAATGTTAATAAATGTCGATAAATGTTGTTATAATTGCCATTATCCTTGGACCCTCCTGCTTCAGCAAGGAACGACAAAAAAAATAAAAATAAACTTCTACATTGCATTATTCATTCCCTCATTACACAGATGAACATTTGGTCAAATCTGTGAATTCTCGATTTGACTGTTTTTGTACAGCCATCCATTCATTTTAAAGTTTTGGTAATTTCTTTATAATTGAGAAGAGAAAAAGTGTTAAAATCTCCTGTATCGGGTCTTTGCCGATGCATGAGGGTCTAAGGACAGTGAGGATCCAGGACATTAAAGAACTTCGGTCATTCTGGTTTATTGTTATTGCATTTTCCGTGTTCCAACGGTTTGATTCTCTCATCTGTTGCTGGTGAATCGACAACATTGTAAAGTCCTCCAAGACGACCGCTGATCTGATTTAGGGCCGTACAAAAATACATTGAATTAAAGGGCATTTAATGATGGTATATTGTAAGCAAACTTTAAGAAGACACAAAATATCGGTACAAAAGAAAGTCAAAATGTCTGATAAATGTTGGGGATAGAACCATCATTCTCTGTATCAGCCCAATACGAAAGAACTAAATAACTCTATCAGCAAAACTACTGATCTTTAGCATTTTCCAAAGCCTTGCAATAACTTCTCTATTACTTCCAACCATTATAAACTATCCCAACACCGCGACGAGCAAAGTGATTCTTGATGTTGCGAGGAGAACCGTGAACCACCTCTGCTTTCCCCCTACGCAGCTAAAAGTCTGCCGTAAAAAAGAAATAAATAAAAAAACAGACAGAAAATGTGGTAGCGGTGAGAGACATTAGCGGGATTTCCAGTCATACAAAACAGTGTTAAATGCAACATTGACTTTTAAGTGAGGCCCGGTGCAGACAGAACGAGGAGGAGCCCAGACACGCTGATCAAACGCAAATGAAAAATCAATAGCCTTGTGTCTGGGTTCACCTGTCTGAGTCTCTCCCACCGTCCAAGCAGACAGGGTAAAAGCTCTCTTTACTGGACTGTGTGTGTGTGTGTGTGTGGGGTCTAGAACACCTGAAAATGCCATTAGCCGTTTGTTTTCCGAGGGCTGTGTTTTTGATTGGGTTATAGCAGCTGCATTACATGGACGGGGAGATGCCGGTGTGTCGAGCCGGATCCTGAATTCTAAGTCTGTGATTTTATTGAAAGTTTGCTTGTTGGTTCTGTGACTGTGTGGTTCGGGCAAGCAAAGAAAGGAGAGCTCTGCATAAGGTGCTCGGCTCTGAGAGAGGACTGTGAGCTGTGAGATCGAGAAAGAGAGATCTGAGAGAGGACAGAGAGAGGACAGAGACAGACCTGAGAAAGAGGCCAGAGAGAGACCTGAGAGAGGATAGAGAGAAGGCCAGGGAGAGAGACCAGAGAGAGACCAGAGAGAGACCAGAGAGAGAGAGACCAGAGAGAAACTAGAGAGAAAGGCCAGAGAGAGACTAGAGAGAGATCAGAGAGAGAGAGACCAGAGAGAAACTAGAGAGAAAGGCCAGAGAGAGACCAGAGAGAGACCAGAGAGAGGCCAGAGAGAGACCAGAGGGATCAATCTAAAACAACAAAAAAGTACAGTTCATGAATGAACGAATCATTGTTTTAGTTTGAGTGTAATATTACGTCATAATATTGGCCAGAAAGAGAAGCATAATACTATATCTCTCTACCAGAAGTATATATATATATAGCCATAATTTCCATAGAAGCTTTCTATTTTATTATCCATATTTACTAAAGCTGCAAATGAAAAAAAAAGAATCTGTTACTATACATACAGATATGGAGAAGACAAATAATAACATCCAAACTAGAGGATCCCAGCTGTAGGCCTCGCTTATATCTCAACCCAAATTTAAACAGTATTTTTACACAACATTTTCGGGATAAAACCAAGTCGACAACCTCTGACAACACTCACTTCTTTATAAAATAGACATAAACTAACCATATCAAAAGCAGACCACTTCAGGTCCCCACTTTAGCGGTGAACGTGTGTGTGGTCTGCTTACACACATGTGAAGTACCTTATCAAGTGGATTCACTGTAAAATGGAAAACCTCTTCTTGCTCGGAACATCTCACTTAAGCCTCGATAAGTGTTGGAGACTTTTAAACCACAGACTGGAAACTGGGCTTTTCTCTTGAAGTACTTTCGGCCGATCAAATGTAACATTGGGTTTGTAAATAGACTGGTAAAAAGCTAGTATAAACTAATAGTACTGAGATCTCTCATGGTCAAGCAGATGGTGTCACTGTAGCTCATGTTCACTGCAACAAAAAAAATTCGCTAAAATTCGCAAAATGTGCTCAAATTAAGATATATTTTGCCAAATTTCAGCCTATCATAAATTTTTCATCACTTTTTGCAGTGTTGTAGGCTATAAGTGTGAATGGTTTCAATGGTTCCACTTGAATTGTGATAGCATGTATACCTAGCATACAGACTTTACTATAGTGCTAGTAATGGCAATTTCGTCTTAACTTTTTTTCATTACTCCCATGGGATGTTATCAGTACTTAATTTTAAAATACATTTCTCAAGAAAGCGACCACAGCAGCTATTTAACTCAGTCTTTGTTCCACTTCTGTTTCAATCTGCAGTAAACAAAGCACATTTATTCAAAAGAATCTACCAAATATGACAAAAGTTGTTCGAGCGACAGAAGGATATGTGATAAACGGATGGAATAGGGCAAGAGAATACCGACTTCTCGACGGCACCGGGAGAAGTTGTGAGATTTAGAAGTCGTGTCGGAGCTAAAATATAGTTATTCTTAAGCAAAACTCCCATCTGCAGCTGGCCTCGAACACATGTGTCTGTTTGAACAAAGGTCACGGGTCCGTCAAACTGTGAGAGATGGCAAAGAAGAAGCTATTCCTGGGTCCTGAGCTGTGTGTGACAGGGAGAGAGCAGCTAATTGGATGTGTGTGTGTGTGTGTGTGTGTGTGTGTGTGTGTGTGTATGTGTGCATGTGTGTGTGTGTGTGATGCCCATGACAAGATAAAGCCATACCAGACACTCACACAAACACACATGATTTTTGGGTTTAAAGCTATCGCCATCTGTTCCCAGTCTGCATTCCTCGCCAGTATTGTCGAATCACATCTCCAGAATACAGCTCGCTCATACAGCAAAACATGTGACGATTTTATATTTTTGAGTGTGATTTCAGAGGTTGTCATCAGGGTTTCTCTCGTGATTGTCTTCGTACAAGTCAGTAAAGTAGTGATTATTAGTTTGGCAGTTCCAAAAATGTGTTGCAAATCTAAAAAGTACTACAGTTTATTGTGCTATAATCTGTGGTGTGCCCAATTATGGATGGAAGCTGTGAGGAAGCTAACCTTCACTTAAAGCTGGGGTACCTAACTTTATAATCACCTAAAATGTACTATGAAATTGGTAAACTATGAAATCTCGGATATTTAAGGACAGATTTATGGACAGTGGTCATCCCTATCTCTCTATATGTCGGTCTCTCTAGTCTCTCTCTCTCTGGTCTGTGTTTCTAGTCTCTCTCTCTGGTCTCTCTCTGTCTAGTCTGTCTCTCTGGTCTCTCTCTCTCTAGTCTCTCTCTCTGATCTGTCTCTATCTGGTCTGTATCTCTAGTCTCTCTCTCTCTGGTCTGTCTCTCTAGTCTCTCTCTCTCTGGTCTCTCTCTCTCTAGTCTCTCTCTCTGATCTGTCTCTATCTGGTCTGTATCTCTAGTCTCTCTCTTTGATCTGTCTCTCTCTTTGGTCTGTATCTCTAGTCTCTCTCTTTGATCTGTCTCTCTCTCTCTGGTCTGTCTCTCTAGCCTCTCTCTCTGATCTCTCTCTCTAGTCTCTCTCTCTCTGGTCTGTGTTTCTAGTCTCTCTCTCTGGTCTCTCTCTGTCTAGTCTGTCTCTCTGGTCTCTCTCTCTCTAGTCTCTCTCTCTGATCTGTCTCTATCTGGTCTGTATCTCTAGTCTCTCTCTCTCTGGTCTGTCTCTCTAGTCTCTCTCTCTCTGGTCTCTCTCTCTCTAGTCTCTCTCTCTGATCTGTCTCTATCTGGTCTGTATCTCTAGTCTCTCTCTTTGATCTGTCTCTCTCTTTGGTCTGTATCTCTAGTCTCTCTCTTTGATCTGTCTCTCTCTCTCTGGTCTGTCTCTCTAGCCTCTCTCTCTGATCTCTCTCTCTAGTCTCTCTCTCTGGTCTCTCCCTCCAGTCTATCTCTCTGGTCTCACGTTCTGCCCCCCCCCCCCCCCCCATGTACTATGAAATTGGTAAACTATTACATCTCGGATATTTAAGGACAGATTTATGGACAGTGGTAAGTAATGACAGTGGTCATCCCTCTCTCTCTATCTGTCGGTCTCTCTGGTCTCTCTCTCTAGTCTCTCTCTCTCTCTGATCTGTCTCTCTAGTCTCTCTCTCTCTGGTCTCTCTCTCTTTAGTCTGTCTCTCTGGTCTGTATCTCTAGTCTCTCTCTCTGATCTGTCTCTATCTGGTCTGTATCTCTAGTCTCTCTCTTTGATCTGTCTCTCTATCTGGTCGCTCTCTCTCTAGTCTCTCTCTCTGGTCTGTCTCTCTAGCCTCTCTCTCTGATCTCTCTCTCTAGCCTCTCTCTCTGATCTCTCTCTCTAGTCTCTCTCTCTGGTCTCTCCCTCCAGTCTATCTCTCTGGTCTCACGTTCTGCCCCCCCCCATGCATGCACGGCTTTGCTCAGACCTACTCTAGACTAAGACTAATCAGTTGTGAGAATCAGTTGAATTGTGAGAATGTACACATGTATACAATAGCGTTGCAGGCTTTAAAATTGGAAAAATAAATTGAACACATCTGAATAAGTTAGATTTGGATCATAAATCAGAATCTGTACGTCTTTCTGCAGGGCTAGCTTCCTCCCGATGGTACAGCCCTCTCCATGTCTATCTATCTCTGCATCTCATATATCTTCTCTCTGTGTCTTTCTTTCTGGTCTTGTAAAACGTTGTAAAACATGTCTGTGGAGCGTTGCTTTATGACGCCGTAAAGACTAAACTGTAGGGTTCTGTCCACAGGATTACAGTCTGCTGCCTCGGCGTGAAAACAGTCACAAAAGCAATCAGATGCAAAGGCGTGAGCAGACGTAATGTTCTGTGGAGAAGCTGCCAGTCACTACACAGTCAGTACACACAGCATGAGGGAGGATTTAACATACAAGAACACACACACACACACACACACACACACACACATTATTGACAGCATGAAGGACACACATATCATTTCCTGTGCATTTATACACCATATATGGATTTCCACTCACAATAAGTGGTACAGTTGGATGCCACAAACTGAATTCAGACCACAAAGTCATTCTAGAATTTAAAAATGTAGTACTTTGAGATTGTGTGGCAGGGTCTGTAACGCCAAGTTAGACCCTGTCCAGATTTCTCTTCTCTTCTGCTCTTTAAACCTCATCACATACAGTATCTTTAGTAATGCTAATGATACTTAAAACCATAACCTCTCTATGGTCTCTCTCTCTCTCTATCTATCTCTACCTTTAAAAGGCCAAGACTCATTTCTATTAAATCTTTCTCTTTCTCGATTCAATTTGAGTTGAGTGTCTCTCTCTCTCTTTCTTTTCTAAATACATTACGATTGATTCTGTATTTATTCTTTCTGTTTATTCGCGTTGTATTCATACTAACGGTGCGATCTGACAATGAGACTTCTGGACAGATGTATGCGGCTGTATTATACAGCGTATGCACGGCTTTTCACAGCTGCAGCAGCGCTCAGACCAACAGGCAACAGGTTTGACGTCTCTGGTCTCTCTCTCTTCAGCAGTCGTGAGTTCAGGTGGTCAGAATTATGTATAAAGTCTGTGGCGAGGGGTTTTACAGCCTTCAAACACACAGGTCCCACTTTTAGTTTCAGTAACCCCTGCGATAAAAACAAGACACCACTGTACAACAAAAATACTAAAGTTAATGTGTACAAACAGACAAATGCTGCAGTAACACACACCAGCACCGTATACCCTCATGTACAGTGTATGTGAAGGTAGGGTCTCTCTTCTCTCTCTACCTACTCACTCCTCTTTCTCCCACTGTATTCTTAAGAAACTCCAGATTACTTTTGAACGGAGAAGCTGTGGTCCATCTCTCTCCGCTCGCCTTTTTAACACCCAGTGACCAGAGCGCCGGAGCCAGAGCCGCCTTTTATTGGCTGCGGCGTGAGTTTTAGAGAAGTCGAGGATCAGGCTGAAGTTTTGAAATTCGTTTTCAGCCCCTCGGGCGCTCGCCCGCTAGCCTTTTAGACCGAGCTGCAGATACGGGGAGAGTGAAATGAAAGCTAGAACACACACATATATGTATATAGTAAGTGGTAAAACTCTGCCGAAAGCCAAAGAAGCACAAATCACCTCTCGACAGTTTGTTTACATTGATGTTTAGCATAATCTCTTATCCCCGAAGCTGCGGAATATGGCTCCAATAATGAGAATTATGCGGTCGATGAGGCAACACTAAAGCACTAATTATGTGAAGAGATAGCACAGACTTGTGTCCAGAGATATAGGAAAAGATTACAGTTTTCCCCTTTAACAAGACGTTTTTTTCTCTGTTTCTCTCTGTCTCTCTCTGTTTTTCTCTATCTCACACTCTCTGTCTCTCTATCTGTCTCTCTTGGTTTCTCTCTCTCTCTCTCTATCTCTCTCACACCTTGTCTCTCTTTCTCCTCTGTCTCTATCTGTGTCTCTCTGTCTATCTCTCTCTCTCCCTGTCTCTCTCTCTCTCTCTCTCTGTCTGTCTCTCTCTTACTCCCTCTTTTTCTCGCTTTCTCTCTATCTCACTCTGTCTCTCTCTCTCTCTCTCTGTCTGTCTCTCTCTCTGTCTCTCTGTCTCTCTCTTACTCCCTCTTTTTCTCGCCTTCTCTCTATCTCACTCTCTCTGTCTCTCTCTCTCTGTCTCTTTAGGTCTCTCTTTCTGTCTGTGTGTGTCTCTGTCTCTTTCGGTGCCTCTGTCGGTCTGTCTCTCTCTCTTTCTCTATTTCCGTCTCTATCTTTCTGTCTCGCTCTCTGTCTCTTTCGGTCTCTCTTTCTGTCTGTCTCTCACAATCCAGATCATGCTGCTATCATGCTGTTGGATTTTATACTCTATACACCAGCTCCCGGTTTCTCTCTCTCTCTCTCTCTCTCTCTCTCTCTCTCTGTTTTTCATCTCACACTCTCTGTCTCTATCAGTCTCTCTTTCTGTCTTTGTCTCGTTGTCTGTCTCTCTTGGTTTCTCTCTCTCTCTCACACTCTGTCTCTCTGTCACCTTGTCTCTCTTTCTTCTCTCTCTCTGTGTCTGTCTGTCTCTCTCTTACTCCCGCTTTCTCTCTTTCTCCTCTGTCTCTCTCAAAACCCTCTCTGTCTCTTTCGGTCTCTCTTTCTGTCTGTCTCCCTCTCGTTCTCTCTCTTTCCGTCCCTCTCTATATTTCTGTCTCGCTCTGTCTCTCTTGGTCTCTCTGTCTCTCTCTCTTTCCGTCTCTCTATCGTTCTGTATCTCTCTCTGTCTCTTTCTGTCTGTCTCTCTCTCGCTCTCTGCCTCTTTCCGTCTCTCTCTGTCTGTCTCTCTCTCTCTCTCTTCATATCTCCAGCTGAACGTAGATACAGTGTGGTTGTAAGTCGACAGAACCAGCAGTGAAGTGTGCAGTAAACAGACCCAGTGAGCAGTCCGGTCCGGTCCAGTTCTGGTCGCAGGTGCAGGAGTTGGTCTCTGCGTTGTGGGTGCCGTGTCCGGAGCACTGGTCGGGACACATGGCTTTGGCGATCTCGCAGCTGGCTCCTCCCCATCCCGGCTGGCAGTGGCACTCGCCGTGAATGCAGACGCCGTGGGCCGAGCAGCTCGGGTCGATACAGTCCACTACGGGAGCAAGACAAATCAAATTTAATATTGTGTGATTCTAGAAGGGATTTGATTTGGTGCAGTTTGGGCTTAAAGCTGGACCACGCCAATGAAACGATAAATATATACACAGTAGTATTAGTAGCATCATAAAGGATCCTTCTCCTCTCACTCACACAACTCTCTCTGGTCTCTCTCTCTCCAGTCTCTCTTTCTATATCTCTCTGTCTCCCTGGTCTCTCTCTCTCAGGTATCTCTCTGGTTTCTCTCTTTCTGTATCTGTCTCTCTCTCTTTCAGGTTTATCTCTAACTGTCTGTCTCACTGTATCATTCTTTCTCTCTGGTTTTTTTCTGTATCTCTGTATCTGTCTCTCTCTCTGGTTTCTCTCTTTCTGTATCTGTCTCTCTCTCTTTCAGGTTTATCTCTAACTGTCTGGCTCACTGTATCATTCTTTCTCTCTGGTTTCTTTCTGTATCTCTGTATCTGTCTCTCTGGTCTGTCTCTCTCTCTGTATCTCTGTCTCTCTATCTGGTTTCTCTCTCTGCATCTGCCTCTCTGGTCTCTCTCTCTCTCTGTATCTCTGTCTCTCTGGTCTGTCTCTCTCTCTCTTTCCCTCTCTCTGTATCTCTGTCTCTCTCTGGTATTGCTCTCTCTCTCTATCTGTATCCTTCTCTCTCTCTCTCTCTGGTCTCTCTCTCTCTTTCTCTCTCTGGTTTCTCTCTCTGTATATCTGTCTCTCAAATTGCACAATTCTAAAGACTGTCTCTGTCTTTCTGTCTCTCTTCTCTCTTTCTCATAATCTCGGCCTTTACTTTGGCATTACATGTTCCAGAACTTAAAATATTGTTTGTGTGTATAGAAAAGTAGAGCCATTTGTAAAAAAACACACACTTTTTGGTGAGACAAAATGCACAGGCCGATAGATATGAAACATTTGACCTTCACAACTCATATGTGACAAAACCGACTGGATGGATTTGACAAAGAAGAATGTTTATAAGCTTGAAAATGTCACTTTTAGCATAAAATGTATTGTTTAGAGCAGGGGTGTCATTCATACGGCCCGCGGGCCGGAACCGGCCCGCCAAGAGATTTGACACGGCCCGTGGCTCATTTATGTAAAAATATAATAAAGTTACATTTTAAAAAGCCGCTCCGCGACGCGAGGCTCCGCGCCGCGAGGCGCCGCGACGCCGCAGCGCCGCTCAGGGGTGAGTCCAGTGCGTCTGTAGTGGCTCCACCAGAGCGGTGCTGAAGGAATAACATCTTAAACTACAAGACTCGGCGAAAAATACGGCACTTTGAGCGAAGAATTGAGAAAACAGAAGATAAACCTGTCTGGCCCTGAAGACACAGCAGTCTGTTTGTGCCCAGAGCGAGAGGTTAGTTCTGCTGTTGTGAAGGGAAGCTACCTGTGCTAACAACATTAGCATCGCAGCCGCACAGTGAGAGAGAGTTTGTTAAATCTCTCTTACAGGCTGCAGACATGGTCTGAGAAACCACTCGCTTTTACCAACATGTTGCCATTGATAAGAGACTGATGTTACTGATGTCACATATTCATTTGTGGTGTTACTGAAACTATCAGAGGAGTTTTGAGCGCTGCTGCTGGTGCTGCTGCTGGTTCTGCTGTTGTTGCTGGTGTGTTGGACAGTGTGGACTGGTACCGATGGTAAAAACAGGTGTAGTGACAAAGCTGCAAATGGAGGTGATGATTTTTGGACATTTGACTGTATTTTACACAGAGACACTGCTGCAGTCGTTAAGAATGAATCACGTTATGGAAGTAAAACTTGCTAAGAAGTACAGATGATGGGTGAGAAACCTTCCTTTGCTTTGGTTATGGAAGTTGTTTTATTCATTTCAACTGAATCATGGTCAGTTTGATGCTTTCTCTGTGATAATAACATAACCATGGACCTTACACACTGAAGATGGTTAATGTGATAATAACATAACCATGGACCTTACACACTGAAGATGGTTAATGTGATAATAACATAACCATGGACCTTACACACTGAAGATGGTTAATGTGATAATAACATAACCATGGACCTTACACACTGAAGATGGTTAATGTGATAATAACATAACCATGGACCTTACACACTGAAGATGGTTAATGTGATAATAACATAACCATGGACCTTACCACACTGAAGATGGTTAATGTGATAATAACATAACCATGGACCTTACACACTGAAGATGGTTAATGTGATAATAACATAACCATGGACCTTACCACACTGAAGAAGGTTAATGTGATAATAACATAACCATGGACTTTACCACACTGAAGATGGTTAATGTGATAATAACATAACCATGGACTTTACCACACTGAAGATGGTTAATGTGATAATAACATAACCATGGACCTTACACACTGAAGATGGTTAATGTGATAATAACATAACCATGGACCTTACCACACTGAAGATGGTTAATGTGATAATAACATAACCATGGACTTTACCACACTGAAGATGGATAATGTGATAATAACATAACCATGGACCTTACCACACTGAAGATGGTTAATGTGATAATAACATAACCATGGACCTTACCACACTGAAGATGGTTAATGTGATAATAACATAACCATGGACCTTACACACTGAAGATGGTTAATGTGATAATAACATAACCATGGACCTTACCACACTGAAGATGGTTAAGCTGAGGTGCTGTGTTTAAGTGCTTTTTTCTATCTACCTACTTTACCTTTGTGAGCAGGTTTTCTCTGTAATGAGCCTTAAAACAAAGCTAACACACAAATATTAATATACATATTGTGAAATACCATTTTCAATGTAATATTGTAAATACGCTACATTATTTGCACTATGGAAAACTCACTGTTACATTTAAGTTTGTAACATAAAACTTAGTATTAAAGGATAGTGTTTTAAAGGAAGTTTTAAATAAATGTGTTTATGTGCACAAAAAGTTGGACTTTGTACCGTTTTTGGATATTTTTGTAGAGCATCTCCTGGTCCGGCCCACTTGAGATCAGATTAGGTTGTATGTGGCCCCCGGACCAAAATGAGTTTGACACCCCTGGTTTAGAGGCTTCCTATTGTCAAAGTGCCTTAAGAGGTTTTTCATCTTTATGTATATTTTCCGAGAGATACCATAATTGCTTTACAAACGCAACAGTCGCAGGCCGTAATTGTCAAGAGAAAGTGTGAAAACGCAGTCTTCTTTATTGAATTCATGCTATTAGGAGAAAACCGGTGTAAGACGTTGGACAAGATGTGTTTTTGAAGAGGAGAATTATCTACTGGGAATCACTCCAGCCCACTCCAGCCTCCAGCCTTTTCCAAAGAAGACGACGCAGAACATTTAAGAACCAGAGAAAATATGCAAAGTGCTGTTTCAAGTGAAAATGTTGTTTAAAAAGCTTTTGAATATGAAGCAGTTGTGATTCATTATACAGCGGACCATGGCACTATATGTGTTCATTGTTATTGACAGGTCACTAATGCTTTTAATGTACACTAATTGTAAGTTAAAGTAAGTAAGTGGGTAAGTTTTTATATATACAGCGTCTTTTTTGGTACTTAATGTTGAGGTATATGTAGCTAACAACATATAAGCCATATCAATTAAATGGAACACTGAAATACAATGCATCTACATAAAACCTGACTCTAAACACATATTTCTCTCTCTGTCTCTCTTGCTCTCTCTGTCGGTCTCTCTCTCTGTCTTTCAGTCTCTCCCTCTCTCTGTCTTTTTGTCTCTCCCTCTCTCTGTCTTTCTGTCTGTCTCACTGCCCTTCTGTCTCCCTCTCTCTGTCTTTCTCTGTCTTTCTGTCTCCCTCTCTCTGTCTTTCTATTTCTCTCTCTGTCTTTCTGTCTCTCTCTCTCTCCCTCTCTCTGTCTTTCTGTCTCTATCTCTGTCTTTCTGTCTCTCTCTGTCTTTCTGTCTCTCTCTGTCTTTCTGTCTCCCTCTCTGTCTTTCTCTCTCTGTGTGTCCATCTGTCTACTGCTCTCTATCTGTCTCTCTCTCTGTCTCTCTCTCTCTGTCTTTCTGTCTCTCTCACTGCCTTTCTGTCACCCTTTCTGTCATTCTCTCTCTCTGTCTTTCAGTCTCTCTCACTGCTTTTCTGTCACCCTTTCTGTCTTTCTCTCTCTCTGTCTTTCTGTCTCTCTCTATCCCATTCTGTCTCTCTCTGTCTTGCTGCCTCTATCTCTCTATCTCTCTTTCTCTCTCTCTCGTGTGTGTGTATGAATGGTTGGTGGTGGTCTGAGGGTCCAATGGCACAGACTGATTGCCTCTCTTCTGTCAGAGTGCCCCAGGACATCCGTGGCTACAACAGTAGGTCATCACCACCGTGTGTGGACTGAAGCGTCTTTGAGTGTCCATAAAAGCACTGTATATGAATATAAAACCAATGCATTACAATCACTCGCAGACATATCCCCAAATCCTTACTCATCCTTGCTTTTCTTATGCATCTGTCCGTTTGGAACCAGTCTCTTTGTAAACACTAAACCACAGCCGACAGTTGTACAATGGCCATTTCCTTTGTAATCACTGCCGAGCTCTTGTCTCCTTATCGCTGTAGATCTGGTGGAAAAGTGGCTGAAGAAACTCAAGTGCCCCAGATTTGTCCAGATTAGGCAAACATGAGGACGCAGTGCACTTTGTAGCAGTTCCATATGGCTCTGGCCGCATCCTTTCCCGTTAAACTGTGATCCTATCTGCCGGAGGAAAGGGGACTGTAGATTCTTCAGCCGATAAAGCACTTTCCCACCGCAGAGTTCGCTTCAAAACAGCCAGTTCAGGAGTGTGGGGTGAGACTAGTCATTTCATTAGTTTCAGATTAGAAGCAACATAAACAGTGATGGGACGATAAAATGATCAATGACTACAGACCCTCTCGCAATGTAGGGCTCACGCTATTTATTTTTTGAGACGTTTCTCGCCGACGCAGGAGATTCTAAGGACAGTGACGATCCGGGACATTTTGGGACATTTATGGACATGAACAAGTTGATGG